TTAAGAGATACCCCCTAGGTCAGTGAATGGCGCTCTGTTTGGCTGGAGGGGGGGTTGGCGGGCGGTTGCTCGTGAGCTTGGTCACCTCATGGCTGCTTCACCCCTGAGGCTGTGCCCAGCTCTTTGGGAGCCTGTTCGCAACAGAGCAGCTGCCCGGCAACCCCAAAACAATAAGCCCTCCCCTATAATAAGCCCAAGGCCATATTTTGTAAGTAAAAAGAAAATAAGACCCTGTCGTATTTTCGGGGAAACACGATATATGTGTGCATGTGGGTGTAATATATATAACTGCCCATACACATATAGGTTGTAGCAATTGAAAGCTAATTCCAAATTGTTTTTTCCAGAGAAAAGGTTAGAAAATGGCCTTAGGAATAAACAGTGGTCATTCATCAAATGAATAAGAAAGTGTTTAGAAGAAAATGGCAACACAATTCATGTAGTTAAATCATGTACATATGTCTACAAAACCTAACTTTTGGTTTATCCTATATATGTTTTTGTGTGTGGCTGTCCCTCTCTTCCTCCCTCCCTGCTGTCTGTTATTGCAGGAGAGTACTCTGCTGTGCCACCCCCTTTAGCCATAGAATCAAAGAAAGGCAAAGCCCCCCTCATAAAAAAGAAGACCTTTAAGAAGAACGGAGAGAATAATGAGAAAAAAGAGCAAGTGTTCACAAAGAGCCCATCAAGTATGTTTCATAAATAACTTGTATATAAAGCTGATGAGATGTGTATATTTAAAGAGATTGATTCAAATATATCTTCCTTTTAAATACTTGACTTTTGGTAAAGAATCAAATCTAATCTGTGGGAGAGAAATATAGTCCTCTGGTAGATGCATTCTTATTAATGAAGAAAAATTTCCTTTATTTATAGAAGGAATTTCTAATAGAGGAAAGGATGCACTATTTCCCATCAGACAGAAGGAGACACCTAATCCCTATGATAGATGTAAGGAAGAAGAAGAAGGGGTGTTTTTTGTTTTTGTTTTTTTGCCTTACCAGGGTCTTAGGCTCAGGAAAATAATTTTCAGGCAATACAGTCAATTTGTAATGCTTGCATATAACCTAAATGCATCATTTATTAGTCATGTGCAGGTTGAGATTGGACATTAGTAAGGCAAATAAATGAAATGGTTAACAGGCATCTGGGCAGGGCTTTTTGTTATTAAGTTGGCTGATTTGAGCAGTTCCATGCATTATGTGAGAAGACATTGTAGGGTAATTGGAGCAATCAGACCCACCCCAAATCAGGTCTCCCAAAGAAGTCACCAATCTTCATCAGTCAGAAATTGGAATTTCCAAATCACAGTTGCAAGCTATTAATCATGTTCAGACTGCTAAATGCCCACATTCTACTGAGGTTTGCCTTTGACTTGGCAGGGGGTGAGAACAGTTCCTTTGTGGTGTGCAAATCTTGGGCTTATACTACTTTACTATAAATGTGTCCCTGTGTTCCTCTTTTTAGTGTATCTGAATTTTCCCAAGTTTTCTTTATCACAAGCTGACAATAATCTAAGGCCACAAATGAGGATTGACCATCCCCCAAGCCCCACCACTGTAAAAGTGGATCCCTGCAATGGAGAGATGGAAAACAGAGCAAGGGGAGGAGGAGCGGGGAGAAGAGGGAAAGTGGCCAAGTGAGAAGTGGGGCCATCCCAGCTGACCAGGCACCAAAGCACCGCTGCGAGAGCCCAATCCAATCCAACCTCTGTGTGCGCACGTATGTGTGTGTGAGAGAGAGATCCCATCCAACCTCAAAGAGTTGGGCTGGTGGCGGTGTGTTCTGTCTCTCTGTCTCTGTCTCTCTCTCTCTCTCTCACACACACACACTTCATTGGATCGCTCCCTCCCTCCCTTCCTTCCACTGCGCAGCAATAGCTGGTCCCCACCTTTCTCACTGGCCTGCATCACCCCACATCTTTGTTCTGGAAATGTCAGCCCCCCTGCCACTTCTCCAACCTGCATTTTGTTCTTCCTTCGTAGTTTTTTTTTTTTTTTTTTACAAAAATCATATGGTAGCTACCGGATCCTCAGCTGATCACGAGGAAAGTGTGTGTGCTCTGGATTTTGAGGCAGAAAAGCAGGGGGGGGGGATTTCAGAGGCCCTGGAGAAAAAGAGCAAAGTTCTTCTGTTTGCCATCCGAAGCAGGTGCTGAGGCAGGTTCTCCTCCACCACCCAAAACCTCAAGGACTTTGCAGAACCACTGGGAAAGGGAGCCTGATCTTCCTCACCCAGCTCCAAGTGGCCTAGTTTTTCCGGAGCTTAGGGTCCTTCCATATGAAGGAGGAACACAACACTAGTTGGAGAAGCGGCAGAAAAGGGGGCTGCCATTTCCAGAATGGAGACAGAGCAATGCAGGCCGGTGAGAAAGCGGGGACCAGCTATCGCGCAGTGGAAGGAAGGAAGGAAGGAAGGGAGAGAGAGAGAGAGAGAGAGAGAGAGAGAATGATCTGATCCAACCTCTGTGTGTGTGTGTGTGTGCCTTCTGCTTGGTTATGGCTGAGCAAGCAGAAAAAGTGGGCTGGTGGCCACATGGGCTCCTACTGGACAGGACTGCTGGTGCTGCCATCGCAAGGCAGGTATTGGGGCGTGGGTGGGCTGCCTGCAAGGGGTCTTGAGGTGCACAGTTGTGGGGCAGCTCCAGCCCCTCTTTCCTCACCTTGTGGCCCCTGCACCAGTGCTCTACTTGGCCTCCTGCTTGATTAAAATGTCGTGGCCTGCTTGCAAGAGTCCTAAGGTGCATGGGTGCAGGGCACATGGAGCAGCTCCACACACTTCGCTAACTACCTTACCTGACCTTGTGGTGGCTGGACCAGTGTGCTGAGCAACCAGACAGTAGCATGGAGTGGGTGGGTCTTAACTAGGGCTTATTTTTGGGTAGGGCTTATATTAGGCATAGGCGTGAAAACCCAGATAAATCTTATTTTTGGGGAAACCGTATGTTGTAATGTTCATAAAAAGGTACTTTGCATTAACAACACATGATCCCTAAACTTAGCACAAATAGTACAGATCGTTCTTATTCAATCTATAAAAAGTATTTGCAGCTATTTCTGCTGAGGACAACTATAGTTTTAGGTTGCAATAATACCTGTAGATGTTGCTACATGATGCCAGCTTGAGAGCATAACTATGAACTCTTATTATCTTGGAATTGTCACAAGGAATATAATGAAACCTTTATATTTTTTTCCTCTAGCTGAAGGGTCTGTGATTAAAAAAGCATTTGCCCCCAAATCTCTCCCTGTTTCTATCCAAAAAGGAAATACTTCTTCAGAGAGTGATTCAGGTTAGTAGCTTATCATATAACATGTGATCTCTCTATTAGGGAGTTCTATAATTTTGATAATTATAAGCAGCCAAGTACAAAATGCTGTCAGTGCTATATAATCTTCCAACATTTTTGAGGTAAAATTAAATGTGCCAGTATAAATGAAAGCTATGTGTGCTTTATTTAGATTCTAGTTCTGAAGAAGAAAAGAAAGTTTTGGTCAAATGCTCTGCCAAAGCCGTTTCAGCAAATGTTGCTGTTAAATCAGTTCCATTCAAGAAAGTGAGCAGCTCCTCTGATACTTCAGGTACTGTGGATAACATGGTAAATCAAATGTTTCCCATTTTAATATTTTGTATTCTTTCATTGTAGAGCAGGAGTTTTGTTCAGTCTTCAGTTACTTATAGACAGAAACCCCAACATTAAAAAATCTATTAATATTTTTCTTACATTGCATGCTTATGGTACCAAAATTTAAATTTAAAATACACCATAAGTTAATAATAAAGGATTATGAATTGTTAAAACAAGCTACTTAGGCAGAGGTTTGTGCTTCGAGCTTGCTGCTTGGCTCTCATATATTTCATTACCAAACTAGGTAACATCTTCAGTGGGATTTGGGGTGAAGTGACTTGTTCGTTTATATAGATCCTGGGTGATCAGTTCATCTTGTGACTGGTTGAATCACAAAGCTGATTCTGGTCGTGCGACTTCTGACTGGTTGCTGTGAGACATGAAATTTAACTGGTGAGGGTGGTTGATTCTGCCATTGGCTGGTGGTTTGGATGGTCTGCTTTCTTACCATTTTATATGCTGTTTCTAAGTCAATGTGTTTGTTGATTGGACTCATTGGTACAATACCAGTCTTTGAAAAGCTCATCTGCTTGACTGGTTTTGGCATGGACAATGACTTCGGCTTTGTCCCAGTCAAAACAGGTATTGTTTGTTGTTGATGTGACTGGCGATCAGAGACTTTGAGTTTGACAACCTACTGGTGGTGGTCATGGATTCTGGATTTTAACTGTCATCCTGTCCCATGTAGAACTGGTTACAATTATTGCAACTGATTTTGTATGTTATGTTGGTGCTGTCTTCCTTCTCTGTTTTGTCTTTGATTTTTGTAAGTTTCTTTCTGAGTGTAAATGTGGGTTTGTGGGCTGTTATTCCTAGGGGTTGCAGTAGCCTGGCAGACATTTCTGATATGCCTTTGATGAATGGCAGGATCTGTGTCTTTGCTGTGCTTTTCTGTATGGCTTTCTGGGGTTCGGATGTTACACATCACAGTATAAAATTCCTGGGGTAGCAAGTAGTAATTCCTTGCAAAGAAAAATGTTGCTGTTTTTTCTTCCTAGATTCTGATAGTTCTGACAGTATTCCTGAGAAATCCGCAGTTAAGACAGGCATAAAGAAAGTGAAGAAACCTCTTGGAGTGCTGGCAAAGAAAGTAGAAAGTAGCCTTGAAAATAAGAAAGTTCATAAAATAAAAGGCACAAAGGCTGTCAAAACAACACCCAAATCCAGCACCCCTATCTCTAAACCAAAGAGTTCTGAATCAAGCAGCTCAAGCAGTTCAAGCAGCTCAAGCAGTGAAGAAGAGACTCAGCCATCCCAGAAAGCAGCTGGCAAACTCTCAGTGGGTAGCAGTTTGATCGTTAGCAAGCAAACCCCAGCTGAGATCAGGACCTCTACTGAGAATTCCACTGATGAATTTAAAATATCTGAAAAAACAGAAAGAAAGAGAGGACAAAATAACTGCAAAACAGCAAAAAAAGTGCTAAAAACCTCAGCTAACTTGGTGGGCAAAACATCTGCATTAAAGACTCCAACATCTGAAGTAGTGAATTCTGCAAACAGTAGTAGTTCTGATGAAGAGGCCACAAAGGAAGGTTAGTAATTTTTCACGAGGGAAGTATTCATTACAATGGAGCTTATTTGAACATAACACCAAATCAAATATAATAAAATAAAGGAAAAATGCGATGGAATGTGCATCTAGTAGGCGACAAGGTTTAGTTTGGCAAGATTCTGCTTGTTAGGAGTAAGTAATTGAAGGATTGTAATCATTTGGATCTTGCTGTGTCATATTTGGGCTTGGTTCTGATACCATATTTAATATGATAGATGAACACCATCCCTGTCTGTCAAGAAAGACTTTAGTGGTTCACAGCAGCATTTTATCCATAGCTCAATCATACTTTGGCTTAGACAGCATCAAGTTATAAACCACACTGGATTATTTTGCTTAGCATGTTGTACTTATTCAGACATTGGGTGAATCAGTTCCTGCCGATTAGAGATATTTTAGATAACTATTTTATACCTGAATTTATAGCACAAATGAAACTCCTTCCTGTTCCACAAGCTGTGTACTGATTAGATGCTACTTACTTAGAATGAGATGGTTTTGTGGAAGCTTACTATTCCTGTGAAATATAACAGGCTTATCAAAAAAAAAGCGGAAAAGGAAAGAGGAACAGGAGTTGGAGACCCCAGACATCAAGAAGATGAAAGCCACAAGTCCTCATACATTCCCAAAATCAAAGCGGGTAAGGATTGAGAAAAAGGATTTTATGATTTTATTTATTCCACTTTATTTATTAAATGTATTAGCTGTCCATCTTATCAGATGGTAACTCTTTCCCTCATAACTGCAAAAGCCGAATTTGAATTGTATTTTACAAGGTTTTTTGAAAGGTATTATGAAATGGTCATGGATGACCTTAGATCTGGTTCTAATGTTTGGTGACTCTAAAAACAATTTCTCAACTAGAAAAGTTCTTAAGTTGCCATTTTGAAGGATTTGGTCAGAAATCAGATATATCATAGGCAAGTAATCCTCAAGTTACAATTGCAGTTGGAATGGGGTTGCTAAGCAATGAGGCTCTGAAGTGTGATATCAAGTGCCGTCATGTCATTTAGTGATGCCTCGCAGACCCAGTTGTCACAATCCAAGATGTGTGAGTCATTAAGTGGAAAGAACAAGGTAATAAATAGGGGTACTGGGGAAAGGAAAAGGAGGCTCAACACAGGATACATGTGAGTTTGGGGGACAAGGTGCTTAGTTGAACATAGAGTGCATGTGATCACAAGTAGTCCAAGAAAAGAAGGCACTTGGTTGTGTGCATTCTTAAATCCAAGTAAGAGAGGCTCAGAAAAGGTGGAATGAGTGCAATTGAAAGGAGACTGTGGAAACAGGATGCAGGGTACATGAGTGTATTTGTGGGAAATATTTCAGGGAAGCCAAGTACATGGGATGCTGTAGAAATAGAGTGTATGTCCATGCATGTATGCAATTGCAAGTTGGCCAGAAAAAAGGGTCTGGTTTGTGTGCACGTGAAGTGGAAGGAGGGCACACTCCACGTGTGTAAAGACTTCGCCCAATGTCTTCGAACTTTCTTTGCTGGTTTCCCATTAACTTTGCCTTTGCTTGGAGGAAGCCAGCAAGGAAGGGCACAGATTGTTCTCATGTGACCATGGGAGGCCACGTTTGATTATAAGTACAAGGTTCTTTTGTTCATGTTACCATGGGGATGCTGAAGTGACAAGAACTTGGAGGATGGGTCCTTTTGTTTAGCACCTGGAATTATCATATCATGAGGACTATTTGTATCTTTTTTCTTCTGCAGAAATCCAGTCCTTTTCGCAGAATAAGAACAGAAGAGATAGAAATAGATGTGCGAGTAGCTAACAATTCCTTTGATGCCAAGGTAGGCATAGGCATTCTTCATGCAGTAATCTCTACAAAATAGAGACTACCTGGACAAACTATAACAAAATTGCGCTATTTGCTATGTATATATGTGTGTGTGTTTATGTGTTTGTTTATGTATTTATTGCAACCTACACTCATAGACTCTGGGCAGTTTACAAATGCAAAGTGATAAAAACCATTTATGCTTATTAATGTTTTGTGGCTAATGATCATCAATTATCTTCTTTCCTAGAGAGGAGCTATAGGCGACTGGGGTGAAAAAGCAAATGATGTTCTGAAATTTACAAAAGGTAAATCCTTCCGACATGAGAAGACAAAGAAGAAAAGGGGAAGTTATTGTGGTGGTACTATCTCTACACAGATAAACTCCATCAAATTTGAAAGTGACTAAATTTCTACCATATTGGGAACAGGATCCCAGTTAAATAGTGAAATGTCATGGATATCTCTTCCACAACCTGTTGTCTTAATTTCTGATGGGAGGATGGCTGCCAGTTTCCTATGTGATAATGTGACTCTTAATGGAGGTATGGGATTGAGTCCTTTGGATTTCTCAGAAGTTTCTAACTTCGCATCACTTTATGTTAATGAACACTTGATAATGTGATAAATAAACATACCTTATTTCTACTAATTCTTCCTTTGATGCTCATATATATGGCAGGGATCAAATGTATCTTGCCATTTGATGCCTATTGTGCCTTTAAATTTTAAATTCCTCCTAGAAATAAAACCTATTGTTCTTCATTAAGAACAGTTTCTAAACCCTAATATATGTTATTAAGCATGGCTCTTGCCTCTCAGAATCACTGCTTTCCCAAACTCATTGATGTTATAGAGTTCAATAGAGAAAAATCTAAAAGAATTGTCAAGATTTGATTTTTACATTATGTTTGGAAGGTCAGAAATTGTATTTAAATATAGATCTATAATATATTTTCATTAGATTTATAAATGATTGTAGTCAGCTCAGTATAACACCTAATTGTCAGGCCCAAGCAACCAGATCCATTTGTGAACGGTTCCAGTCCACTTCTTTATTTCAGTCTACCTATATTACAAGAATCTGCTTGTCTTGCCTTGGGAATGAACAAATAAGATGCCATTGAACTTGGGATGGAGTTAGGCTAATGGCTTTTCTGGCTGCCCAAGGACTCAAGGCTAGTTCCCCACTTGACCCCTCCTCTTCAGCTGGCTGAGAGTTTCCCAATATTTATGCTTACAAAGGCAAATGGATAAGATAATGTGACTACACAATGTGATATTAGGCCCCAACTACATGTAAAATACAGTGAGCATCCCTTATCATAAAGTTAGTACTAATTTACATATGTATGCCTAATTATGCATATATGTGTATATATGCATAAGCATACATGGATACATAATACATGCACACTCTTTTTATTCTATTTCATTTCATTCAAAGAAAGTTAAAATACAAAATTTTAAATGTTTTTTCCTTGAGAGACCGCCTCCTGCCAATTACCTCCCTGCGACCAATTAGATCACATAGATNAAGGATTTAAGAATACGATTTTGGAAACAGTTCAAAAAGTTTTTCCTACTATTCCATCATCTAATGTGCTAGATATATATGAATGTATGCAAAAGTGCAACGTATGAATTTAGAGTTTCTATTTAATTACTACAAATTTAGCTTTGAGCAAATTTCTTTCAGTTTCCCATGTCATGACCCATTAAATATTGCATACAATTATTACAGAGAGGAGGTGGATTAAAGAGAAACTACCTGCTTTTACTCTTAACAACCAAACATTATTCTTTAAAAAAAAACCTGAAGGCTAATTATATGCCCTGTGCAAATCAACTATATACTTTTGTGTTTTTCTTAGAGTAATAAATGATCTATGTTTCCTTTTCCAAGATCACCCCTTTTAACAATATTTTAATGTGTTTTCAAAGTATGATATCACACCATGAAGCAATTGTTTTTTTATTGCATTTTTAAGTGCTTACTGGCAAAGGGAGCTATTTACTAGTTTGGTAATTTAGATCACATATTAAGCATTTCTAAAATGCTTCTGTATTGAATAACAAAGTTGCTGTTTTATTATTCTCATCATAAATTCCATAAATTCCACTTTTTCTTCAGTTTAGCAAAGTTACATTTTATTAGACATATGGATCTTCCCTACTCACACCTTTCCCTGTCTCTTTCTCTCTCTCCCTTCTCCTTCCCTCTTTCTCTACCATCCCTCCCTCCCTCCTTCCCATGCTCCACCCACCCACCCATCCATCTGTCCATCCATCCATCCATCAGTCCATAGTCTGTCTGGTTCTCTTGAGACTTGTAGTTCACAGTTGCATTTTTTCCTGTGCCAATTATGTCTTTTCCAGTTTCTACTTTATCAAAGATTTGTGTTCTTGAATCTATGTTTGTTAGCTTTTAAATGTCATATAATGTAACACTTCCTATGGTTCGTCCAGATCACTTTTGGTTTGCTAATGGAAATGAGAAGAGAACGTAATGATTTGTTTTGTGA